CCTAATTGAGTTTAAATTAAATATTGTCATGTTTTTAGTGCATGAATCTGAATTGAACAACCTGATAATGCTCACTCTGGTTATTGTTATCTGGTTGCTCACTACGTCCTCTTGCGCGCCGAATCCAATCAATAAAAAATGAAAACTGCTGCCAGCGCGAGAAAAGAAATATCATCGGTTTTATTGCTACATACATACATACATACGTACGTATTAGCGTTTTATATTATATAGATATTATTAGCAATCATACAAGAAACATTTTCCAAAGAAGGTTGCTTCGGATTCAAGGAAAAATTTGTAAATTATACAATTATTAATCTACAATCTAAATAAGAGAAACTCACATTGATATGTTATCTATAATATGCTTGTTAAAAACATAATTAAATAATTTTCTTCATTAAATGGTTTATTTCAGTAGTCGGAAAAACTACAATATTTTTGTAGTTTATTACTGCAACTACTTTATTACAAATTTAATTAACTACAATTACAACTAATTTTTTTAAAAATGTAATGACTACACACTATTTTGGAATCTAGTTACTACTTCCCTACTTTAAGGGAACGAACTTTGCTGGAGAACTTAATTTAGACGTATGTTTAAAATGGTTGTGAAAAAGAAATTGGCTTACACTAGAAAGACTGAAATTCAGTATATACCTATATTGTCCAAAAGCAGTCAAAATGACTGGATTGTAAAAATATAAATAATGTGTAAAGAAATTTGCTTAAAATTAATTTCAAATTTTTCTTAATATTATTTACAGTTATGTAACAAGTTATTAGTAAATATTAACAATGAAAAAAATTATATGTTGTACAAAATTCTAGGAAATTGTGTCATTATATACATCATTGTTTTTCTAATTGAAATTAAAAGCAGTCAAAATGACTTCCTTAGGCAATCTAGTGTTAAATTTAAGACAATAGCTAAGAAATATTTATTCATATTTACATGAGCCAGTTTGTTATTCCAAAACATTTTTTTTTCGAATTTGTTCATTTAACCATAAATTTTTTATGCCTTTTTCGATATTTACATTTTCTATAGTAAAATTTAAGAAGAGCAAAATTATCAATTTCTTGTAATTTTTTAATTAATTAGTGTTTTTTTAATTTCCTCTAAGTAATTAAGTGCATCGAAAATGCGTTCCTTCAAAAGTAGTTGCCAAGAATAGCTACAAACTGATGTTTTTTTCCCTTTGTATCGCATTACTCACTATACTACTTTTACTTCGCATTACTCACTATACTTACAGTACTTACTTCACTACTTGCAGTGCGTTACTCCCGATCACTGGTTTATTTACTAAAAGTAAATGGAACCAAACATTTTTTAATGAAATTGCTTCCTTGATTAATAACTTTTTTATTTGACCTAGTAAATCAATTTAACACGTTCTTAGCGTGTTTTTAAACTCACATATTGGGATAGAAATTTGGGCTTTATATCAATGTAATGTTTCTTTCTCTCTGTGTGTGTTCTATGTCTTTTCTCTTTTGTGTGTGAATGTGACCCGCCCTATAAACGGGTTGTGGTTGTGTGAATGGCGTGGCAGAAGTCGAATTCCTGGTCATAGATGGCGCTACTGAAAAACAGGAACAATCGCACCCCCACTGCCTAAACAGGCATACGACGAAAAAAAAAATTAAAATATTCTTGGCTGTATACTGAATAGAATGTACAGTATATAGTATATAGACTACTGCATATTATACAGCGTAGTAAATTAACGATTTTACCTTTTTACATTTTAGATCTTAAATTTACTGATCTAATAAGTAATTGACTTTTTTTTTTTCCGAAAAATAACTTTTTATTATTGAACAAAACTAAAAATATCTTCGAGTGCTGAATACAGAGTCAAGTATTAATTATTATTATAATTTTTTTTTTGGTTTTAATATAACTGATGAAATCAATCACTTTAATATATAAAGTGAAATAATTTTTTGAATTTGAAGTTTGACGATATTTGTATGGGAATTCGTTGTTATTATTAAATAATTCGTGAGACTATATATACTTATAAATATTACTGTGATATTGGGTCAGTTCCTTGACAAGGAGGTTTTGGTTCCCGCTCCAAATAGTTTTGACGATACCGTACGAAAACAAACTGAGAAGCTAAATCAGTTATTCCATCTAAAGGCCTGGTTTCTTAAGGTCTGGTTTCTTAGGACAAGCGCCTTATCTGGGCGTCAGCGGGACGTCAACGTCACGCTGACGCCAACAAAATACTGGTTTGTTAGCTCAAGGCCTGGTTTCTTAGTACTAACGCCTTATCTGGGCGTCAGCGGAAAGTTGACGTAGATCTGACGCCAAAAAAATACTTTTTTGTTAGCTCAGCGTGAGCAGTCGGTCCAACGCAGACATTATCTCTCATTGCGCATGCGTTAATAACGTAAACAAATATTTATTTTGAATTTGTATTGATTTTGTTATTGTCGACCAGTGTTTTAGAGAACAAATAATGACTTTGTCCAAGAAAAAACACATTATAGCTGAGCTAAATGAAGAGTGCTATATTGAATAAGATAGCTATGTTTAATGT